TAATAGGGTGTTACACGTGCTCGTGAATCGTAACTGATCTGATTTATGATCTGAACTGCAAAGGCCACTATACGTCACTGAAATGTTCACTAATGACAATTAAATCCATCTAGAAATTAATTTAGATAATTTACTATATTTACGGATTCGATTTTTCGTTAAAAAAATGATTCGAATACAACGAAATCTCCACCTGAATAAGACGGAAACCTGTCTAAACGGAAAAGGTTCTTCGAAATGGTGCAATTTTCTGTATTTTTTTAAAACCTGTTCAAAACGGAAACCTNAGTGAATTTTGTTTTGTTTTTTTTAATTACTTGTGTGATTAAGTTTACATACAGATTTTAGCTTTTTTTGCTGTAAATTAATAGATTTTGCAAATAGATTTTAGCAGATTTTAACCTTCTATGCGCTAAATTGATAGATCTGTGTTTGCAAATTTTAGTGGATTTCAGCATTTTCTATGCTAAGTAAAGCAAACTTAATAGTGTATTCTAGCGAACATTAAGATTTTCTCAGTTAAAAAGGTAAAATTTAACGCAGATTTTAGCGAATTTTATCATTTTTCTTGTTAATTAGAACGAAGTAGCAGCACGAGTTAAGAAAACCGACAAAGAGAAGCCTATTAACACGCATTTTTCCTTTAACGATATAAAAGTTAATGTTGTTTTGTTTCCGCCACTCTCAAACTAATGAAATTTACTTTAGAAAAGTGAAATTTAGTAATTAAATTATTAAATTAATGATAAAATATTTAAAAATTTAATAATTTTTATTAATAAAAAAAATATCGCATCAGTAGAAAATAGTGCAATAAAATTGTAGTATTTTGCAAGAGTAGAAATTAAGTACAATTTTTCCTAAAATTTTATATAATAGCTTTACATTGTTAATTTTTAATTACTTAAAAAGAAATTTTTAATGTATTACTCAATTTTGACGTCAATTTTGAGCTTAATCTTATTGACGTCAAAATTGAGCAATTATGACGCGAGTTTTGAGCCTGTATTATTTGAGCTTTGATTATAACGGTTTTAGATATGAATATCTAATAGTGACGTCAATTATGACGTCAATAATTGAATATCCATATCTGTAACCTCTTTTATAGTGCCGATATTAATGTTATAAGCGGGATTTATTACAAGTATTCAAAAACGTTACGTAAAATTCTCTCGAAATTTTGAACAGGTTTCGTTTAGAATAGAAAATAGCTTCGTTTCGAAGGATTTTTCCCCGTTTTAGACAGGTTTTTACTGTATAATTCAAATAAAAAATAATAAAATAGGACTTTTATTTATTTTTAAATCGAAAAATTACTGAATAAATTTCCCCTTCTCCGGTCGACTTAGTAATAGAAGTTTTTTTTGTTGTTTATCTTATCTATTTTGTTACTATAGGTAATAGCATCACCTATTATCGTAGATTTAATTATGAAACGTCAAAAACATCGCTTATACATGGCCTATATAAAGCGATAACATCTGTCGACATTTATAAACGGGTCCTAGAGCAAATTTCTTTTTCTAACATCAAACTTTGAAGGACACATTCTTAATACAAAGAAAAATTTCCTGTCTTTTTTCTTAATACATAAATTTAACGTTAATATTTAATACATAATTAAAAGACGGTGGCTACGTAATTTTGAAGTCCACAGAGCGAAAGATGCGCGTAATTTTAATTTGGAGCTTGTAAAATGTTAGTTCGCGACCTTGGTGAAGTAGTAAACCCGATTTTTTTTTGGTAGTGGTACCTTATAGAGAGACTTTTTACCTAAAAAAAGGGTCGAAGAACTCGGGTTTAACGTCATTTTGGAATATATAAAGTCGGAACGGCCTAACTTTAATTTAGAGCATCTCATCTTTGGTGGATTGCCATCGTTAGTATATACGGTAGCTTTTTGCTGATGTGGCCTTCTAAGAGAGGTTTTTTTTATATTAAAAAAACCTCTCTTGAACGTAATTTTGTACTCTGTAAAACGAAACTTATGTAACTTTAATTTGGAGTATCTCATCTTTGATAGATTGCATTCATTGCTATAGTAAACCCGGTTATTGTTGATGTGGCCTTCTAAGAGAAGTTTAAAATGGACATGACTCCATCATTTATTAATGAGACATCTTAAAAGAGTATATTTAACTAAAACAAGATTAAAACAATTCTGTTTAAATATAATTTTAAGCATAAGTTAAATTAGCTGTAGCTTAGGCTCTCATACTTTTACGTGTCGTTATTTGATGGAGAGAAAAAAGCCCTATTATATGTTATCACTTAGGGCCTTAACAAGTCTAACTCTGGTGACTTTCAATGAATGGATCGATATCTTCAGGAGTATGAACCTTCTTTGTAACCAATGAAAATCTCTAAAAGAGAGTTGCTAACTAAGAAATGATAGATATTAATTTTAACGCAATTTGGAGCTTCAATCAAATTTTGAGCTGATTGAACTTCGTATTGAAGCTTCCACATTGAGCTCCATATTGAAGCTATTCATTCAAAAATCGTCATCTAATCGAATAGTGTTTTCACTATTGGAACCCTTACAATTAAGCCCTCTTATACGTTTTATAACTACAAGATAAATACAAAATTTTTTTAAATGTAATCTATCTCTTCTAGAACGTATCAATCGAAAGAACCGTGGAGCCACGATCTTCAGGGATTCGTAAACTCTGTTTTCTAGTAATGAGATCCGCTAAAAGTAAGGTTTCTGACTTAAAAAAACAAACAAAATTATATTTTATTTAAGCAAAAACTACAAAAGCAAATGCTTAAAAATTATCGAATTTCATTAGTGTTATAATTTCATTTGTCTTGTAAATTCAGCATTCTGAAGATGTATAAAAACAGAGGCTCATAAATGATGCCCACGTCAAAGTTTTGCGTTATTAATCTATCTTTATTACAGAGTAAAACGGTAAATTCAGACAATATCGTGTGACTTCTGTCAATATTGCGGATATCCAAGCATCTATTTATCATTTTTAATTATATATCTTTAATCCGCAATCAAATTTTCCTCTTATTATTAATAAAAAAGGAATTTTTTTGGACGTTTAACCTTTGGGAATTGAGTTCCAAATAAGATTCTCATCGAGTCAAAAATCAATTGGTGGCTTTGTAAAAGTTGTTGTACGGAAATTGATGCCTTTTAGCATGTTTAATTGGAATCAATTTATCGATAAACGATACACAATGCAATATGATGGTTTTATTAAACCTTTTTGAAACACATCATTACATTTTGATTGTGGTTTGTATGCAATTTATTCCTATTTTAAATTTCCTTAGGCGTTCTGATTTGATTTATTCTTCAATGGTGCAGATTTACTTGAACGTAATCGAACGTATGCCGAGTTCAGAATGTAATTAAACTTGAACACGTAATGAATATAAGCGTGTTAAAACATAAATATCACCTTGAAGACCTTCATTATGGCATACTATTTGTATATGGCAACGTGACACGTAGGAGATCTACCCTCCCGGTAGGACTTTCTATGGAAAACTGACCCCTTTAAATGTTATTAACGTGAAAAACCCCGGAAAACTTCACGTGGCCAGCCCATTGCAAGGCTCGAATGCACCGCCAACTACTTCAGTGGTTTATCACTCCGTTACTGGTGGGCATTTGGCTTACAGTAAGTCTGATCTGTAATGGATCCACACGAGAAATAGGGTCCAATGACTCGTAGATATTCCTCCTGGTAGGACTTTCTATGGGAGACTGGCTCTTTTTAGGTGTTAAAACGTGAAAAACCTCCCGGAAATCTCCACGCGACTAGTCCGTTGCAAGGATCGAACCCACCACTAACTTTACTGGTTTATCACTACACTACTGGTGGGCCATTCTGGCTTACAGTAAGTCTGATCTGTAATGGATCCATACGAGAAATTGGGGATGGAGTCCTTATTCGGGAATATCCATAAAAATCTTTAAAAAATAAGCTACATAATCGTTCCGCTATCTAAAACAGACTGCATATAAATGAATGTGAACGTACTGTACGGCGAATGCGTGTTAGGGCATAAATAGACACGAGTATGTAGTAAATATAAGTGATTATATAAATAAATCACGCATGTTCGCTTTCGTGTACTAAAAAAATAATATACTTCACGTGAAATGATTGAACCTTCGCATTCGGCACTCCATTTCTTTAGAATGTTTGCATGTTCATGCCAATACTGTGTGTGTTTGCTTGTCTTTAATATTTACTTATGTTTAAATATTTATGTTAGTAGCGTAACCAGGGGTGCAACTCCCTGGTTACATTATTGGTCGAGGGGACCAGTAATGTAACCAAGCATGTGTACCGTGCCAACCTATATTCATCCTGTACCAGGGGTGAATGTAGGTTTGCACGTTCTAATTTGGGTTTTAGTTACGCTTCTGTTCTCATTAAACATATGTTACATTTATTTTTAAATCTTCCAATAATGGATTTTTATCTCCGAAATTCTTCGCGAAATAAATATAATATTTTATTTTTATATTTATCGAATATCTAGTTTAATTTCCAAATGAATTTTTTCGATAATTTTCAATTATTTCGAAAGATAATTCACTATCATTTTTGAATTTTTAACGCCGATAATTTCGGAGAATTTCAAATGCAACATTAGCATTCGAGATACGAATCCCTATATCTTATCATAGGAATTTCTTTAAAATATGCAGAATTAGGACCATTTCCAATGTTTAAAACATTTAAAAAGAATTTAGAGAGTTTATTTATAAAAATGAGTGAAAAAAAACACCACAAATCGACTCGACTTTTTAAAGAATTTCATAAATTCAAACCCCGGTTTCCAGCGTAAAAATAATGGCGTAAGATACAGCAACCTAATGAAATATTTAAATTTAATCGTATTTGAAAATGTAAATAATACTTTAAAAATTTATGAGTTCGCCTGTTTAATAAATGTTTGAAGGTAGTAGATAATAAATAATTTATATAAATGTATGATTTGAAGTTAAATAAATAAAGATTTACCTGAATCACCAGGAAGAGAGAGAAAAGTAGAACCAACTTCATTTTTAGTGTTTGATGATCTATTCGAAACAGTATCTTTGTGAATAGTTTCATCTGTTTATCTAATCTTATGAATAATACTTTATCTCGGAGCCATTTCGTAATATAATTTCTAGAATTGTCACATATGTTACCATTGTAAACGATGAATTTCCCACCAAGAAAAGAATAGATCATTAATATTTGAAAAATAACACGAAATTTTATCAAATTGATGAGTATTTTATATTGGAAAAGTCTGCAAGATATCGATCTTTATTATTATTATTATTATTATTATTATACAATATTTAGTTTCCAGTCATCAGCCACAATTAAATTCCCCAATGATTATCTTTTAAAAATTCTTCTAATTTAATCCGTCTGATAATGTAATTAACTCCCATTTACTAGTAATAAACATTCGAAATTTACTTTCTGTATTTTATATTTTATTTTATTCTAGTTGTAACTCCCGTTTTGGATATATAAAATTGCATAAATTCGAAAAAATATATATGTCTTTCGCTCCGCTTGGCTACCTGTCACCCATATTCTTACATATCTCTGTGACAAGAACGTAACAAAATCTCGTTATTTACATGTTTCTATCTGATCCGTGCGTATATGTAAAATTTATCCGCTTTTTTAAACACAAGTTGAAAAATCTAGAATGGAATAGAAACGTATTTATTCAGTTACAGTAGATTCAAAAGTGATAGAGTTGGATGGGCTTGAATATGAATTACATATTCTAAGAATTAAGTACAAGATGCGGATTTTCTTGCACATTTTTTTAAGTAAGAAAGTGTTCGTTTTTTATGAATTTTATTATTATTATTTTTTCTTTTAATCTTATACGGTTCGAATGTAAATGACTTATTTTAGAATTAAGAGCAACGTATTTTGAATTCTTCTTCTCTTATATACTTTTCGAGGAAATTAATTTTCTAGGAAGATGATGCTTTGTTGAATTTTTAGGAGGATTATTCTTTGGTTTTTTTTTATTTTGGTAGTTTAAATGCGAATTATCTGTTTTAAGAATTAAAATGTAACATTTTTGGAAAGAAAAGGTTTTTTTTATTTTTTTATTTTTCGAATATAAATCGTGTATTTTAAGAAATAAAGCGTTGTATCTTTGCGTTTTCTTGCATGTTTTTTGGGGTATATAAAAAAATGCCAATGGATTTTTCTTGTAAACTTTATTTAATTTTGTTAACTCGAATGTAAACTACATTATTACACGAGTTAAATAAAATCTACTGGAATTTTCGGGCAAAAAAAATGACGTATTTTTAGAGAATTTAATGAATTACTTAAAAAGTTTTCAGTACAATCTTCTTCAAATTGCACGCTTCGAATATAAAACTGAATATTTTAAGTATTAATTGTACTATACATGAATTTCCTAGTATACATTTTCAGTAAAATGTAGACAAAATTTCGATGAATTTCTCGGAGAGATTTCTCTTTTATTTCTATCTGCAGCCGGATGTAATGTGATATGTGTACTTATATCGATTTATTTATAGGATCCAGGCTATATCTTTTTCTTGTATCCTGTGTTTTAGCCTGGAGCACTTTAGAAATGATTTAAACATAAGTTAATGCTTAATTGCGTGGTTATAAGACCAATATCTCCTCGTATCAATTTACCATTTTAAAAAAGAATAAATTCTTATCGTCTATCGAATGAATTTTTACACAAAAGAGAATTAACAAAAAAAAGAAATAAACCCGTTTCTGAAGTTACAATAGGCAAATTATTTCGAATTTTAATCTTTAGAATTTCATCTCAATGTTCAGCTATGCCTATATGACAATGGCAACAATAATAAAGAGTCATTTTATGTGTCATAAAATCTCTTCACCCGTCTCCAGTAGTTAACTGCGTATCCTGTCATACTGCAAAATCATGGACGTGTTAAATGAATATTCGATTATTCATTCGCCACTGTTTATATTCCATAGACACAAAGAAAAATAATTTTTTTTTTATTTTTTACACACCTTTCACCTTCTAGAATAATTATCCCGTTATAACATTATAATTAATATTAAGAGCACTTAAATAACCTTCTTTTTTTACGTTCGCATTGTATCTTTTTTTTNTCGAAAATTAATTAATACAGTCGTATTTCTAACAATAGCCACATTTCTTTTTCTATTTAAAAACGCATAATAACCTTCAAACAACGGACATTTTTAAGTTTCCATCAGTGGCCTTCATACAGAGGTTTCTTTTTTAAATGATTGAAATCATTTTTTAATACTCACCTGTTTATCAATGGTTACCGAATCGGGTATACACTCGTAACCTTCGTAGCAAGGACATCTTATGCTGTACAGATCGAAGTTGGAAATATCTTTATAATTTCTAGGATCGCATTTTTCACCTAAAAGAAGTATAAAAATTAAATGTATGAATAAGAATTCAAAAATGTTATTCGAAAAATGTATAGCACGTCTAGAAACATATTTTACGATGTTATTTCGTGATTTAAAAAGAAACTTTTTTCATTTCCATCTTGGAACTAAACTCCGAGTGTGAATGACGTCATAAATTCTGTTACCTTCCTTCGGCTTGGATCGACAATAGCCAGTTCTATACTGAAGAAGACGCAGGGTCATACAGCATTCTGTTTCCAGGTCGCATCCGTCTTGTGTCAAACACTCTTTCCTTGCCTCCGTCTATAGAAAAGAAATGGAGCTACGACTCGAAATTGGAATGCTACATTCAATTGTCGTCTATTCTTCGTTTCCGAATTAAAATTATCTATTGATTGCTAAACCGTATTAAAATCTAATTTTATATACACTTTTTTTCTTTTCTAAATTCTAGGTTTGGTAAATTTATATAAATGTTTAATTTACAACATCGAGATTAATTTTATGCGCTTCTTTTGTTAATTTATAATTATTTTTTTATTTATTTTAAAATTTTTATAATTAATTATTTATATTTTTAACACAATTTAACCGTTTTAATGATTAAATTGTGCTTAATTTATTTTTAGAGGATGGAAAATATGGAAAGAAACTTAAAATTTGCGCTGTTTATAAATCTAATTTTGAATTAATTCCAGTTTAAAATTTTAAATTTTTTTAAAAATATTTTACATTCGAGACATTCAATACATAATTTATCAGGTCACACCTTCAAGAAGTGCAATTTATATATCACTTTTTAAAAGAATTCGATTGAAAGTATTGTTAATATTGTTTAAAAGAATGTATTAAATAGTTATAAATTTTAAACACGTGTATTTTTTTTTTCATTATTAAAATTTAAATATTTATATAGGCGCTGTACTATAAATTTTCATCATTTATATTAAATTTCATATTTTTTGTTTCGTAAGTCTGCTTACCTGAATGACAAGGAGGAGCATAAATAGTAAAATGATACCTTTCATGGTTAATACAAATTTGACATTCTGTTGTATTGTGCTGAGCTTTTTGTGTTGTTAGCAGCTGTTATCTCTTAGAAAGTTATCCAGCTGTGTACATCGTGAATGTTCCCATTTATCATTTTTTTAAAATATATATATATATATATATATTTATATATATTCTAAAGTTTAGTATACGGACGGACAGACAGAAAGTTTGAAGAAGATAATTTAAATAACGATATGGAAAATAGTAACAGAGAAAGGAAAAAATATCTGTAATTACCTTATTCTTCTCTCGTGAGTTTTTAAGGTATAGAAATGGAGTAAAATCATTCATAAATCCGTTAATTAAAAATATTTTACACGAGTATACACGTTTAAAGTTAAAATTTTACAATATTTTCATCCAAAAAATCCGGAAAAAACGGTAAAATCTCGTAAAAAAATACCCATTAAAGTTCTGTTGTTTCGAACATTAAAGTATTGTTTCGAACATTAAAGTATTGTTGTTTCGAACATTAAATCGGATGTTGTAAAACTTGTCGAAAGAATATATACTTGAATATACATATAATTTTTTTTTCTTACTATTTTATACATGTAGAAACCCATGGGGCTAATGTAGACATGTTTAAAAAAGGGGGTAGAATATGTAAATAAATAATAAATAAATATGATTTATCAAAACGACACTCCTGTAACATTACTACCGAATTTTATGGAACAACTATTTAAATTTTACCTTATATGCACAGTAAATAGTGAAACTATTGCTTTTTGAGTAATCAGGAAGGTCACTTTGATAAACTTATTAAATATCAAACGATACAACCTCCTTTAGATAACAGCTTTTATCAATATTTTCAACATAGCGTCTTGGGTCCAGAAGTCATTTAAAAGTATAATTTATTATTCTAATAACTCCTTATAGTGTTTTTTTTTTTCTTTTCTTTTCTTCCTTCCCTCTTCCTTCTTCTCCCCCTAAGCTCCTATCGAGTACGCTGACGCTCCATAAAACGGACATTATCTAACGAGGTATAAATGTTTTGTTTATGACAACCTTTAATTGTTCATTAAGTATTTTACAGTTCGTCATTCGTTATTCATGATAGTTGATCAGGACTGGTAAGGAATAATTTGAATAGAGATGAACTCATAATAGGGTGTTACACGTGCTCGTGAATCGTAACTGATCTGATTTATGATCTGAACTGCAAAGGCCACTATACGTCACTGAAATGTTCACTAATGACAATTAAATCCATCTAGAAATTAATTTAGATAATTTACTATATTTACGGATTCGATTTTTCGTTAAAAAAATGATTCGAATACAACGAAATCTCCACCTGAATAAGACGGAAACCTGTCTAAACGGAAAAGGTTCTTCGAAATGGTGCAATTTTCTGTATTTTTTTAAAACCTGTTCAAAACGGAAACCTCCCAAACCGGACAAACATGTGGTACTGCGCGATTCCGTCTTACACAGGTTTTATTGTATTTTACATATATTTTTATTAATTGACAATCGAGACGAAGTTTGATCTATTTTTTTTTATCAATTAATATAGAAAATTTTGTATTTTTTTAAAAATTTTTAATATAAAATTTTAAATTTTAAACAGATTTATTTTCTAAATTGATAATCAATACGTGGTGTATCAAGATACGCTTTCGCGTTATTTCTCCGTGCTAAATTTTATATAATTTTTTTTTATCTACAGAAAATTATA